TTTTCACCTGGGTTTTTTTAGCCCAATTCATTTCCAACTGAACATGAAAACGTGGCTGGGGGAAAGGTGGTTCTGTAGGATTATGGGCAGTGATGGCAACTAACTCATGTTAACTTCCACTCAGCTGAATCCTCACCTAGGATGTTGCTTTGGGGGAGCCCAGGGACTTTGCTCTATCATTTCCCAGTAATTTCAGTGTTTAAGACCCCAGAAAATCCCTGGAATATTAGGGAAACAAGGATCATGCCCAGGCTCTGCTGACAGCCTTCCAGAGGCTTCAGCCCTGTTTGGAACAGGCCATTCCCTACAGTCTCACCTACTAAGAGGCAAATAAATGGTAACAGCAGTTTGGGTCTATTTTCCCAGGCAATTTGTGCTGAAATTACTAAACTGAGACACACTTAGAGGCAGAGCTGCTAATTCTGCAAGGATTTAAACCATCCTGGTAAGGAACACTGAACCCATTTGCCTTTTTATTATCAGTGGTGACTTTCTGGATGCTGGATGTGCTGTTCCCTTTTCCATACAAGCAGCTGCAAGATTCCCTCGTTTCTGGTTCTTTGTACATCTCCTGTGCATGTCATATTGTTCCTTAAGAGGATGGAGAAAGGAAGGTGTGGAAGGTATCAGACAGAGAACAAGGAAAATTATCATGTAAATTGACAGGGAATGTTCAGAGCTGAGGTAATTAGTAGAGAGACAAGAGGCTTTTGTGACTTGTTTTAAGAACAAGACATATTCCATGTACCCAGCACTTCTGAGCAGCTTTCCAGACATCCAGGAACATCCAAAATGATGTGGTAACTCCTTACATAGTCTTTGGATTTTTACCTAAACTGCTGCAATCCATGGTCTTTCTTCAGCATCAGCTGCAAGCAGGAACTGCTGTTGTGCTTTCCCAGGAGTTTGCTTAAATCATAGAAATCATGGAATGGTTTGGGTTGGAAGGACTTCAAAGCTCATCTCATCCCACCCCTACCATGGGCAGGGACACCTCCCATCAGCCCAGGTTGCTCCAAGCCCCATCCAACCTGGCCTGGAACACTCCCAGGGATGGAGCAGCCACAGCTTCTCTGGGCAACCTGTGCCAGAGCCTCAGCACCTCACAGGGAGGAATTTATTCCATCTTACCTTGCCCTGTGTCAGTGGGATCCATTCCCCCTTGTCCTGCCATTCCAGGCCCTTGTGAATAGTTTCTCTCCATCCTTCCTGTTGGCTCCTTCAGGCACTGCAATTAGGTCACCCCTAAGCCTTCTCTTTTCCAGGCTGAACAAATCCCATTTCTCCCAAATTTTCCTCATACCAGAGCTGCTCCATTCCTCTAATAATCTTGGTGGTCTCCTCTGGACTTACTCCAGCATCTCCATGTCCTTCCTGTGCTGGAGACCCCAGAGCTGGATGCAGCACTGCAGGTATGATCTCACTGGAGCTGATCCTCAGTTTGGTTTAAAACAATCAGTCAGTTCCCAGTCTTTTCAGTTGTAAAATAACTGCACATTGCTGCACAGCACTGGTATCCTCCAACAGGAGATCACCAGGGTTTTCCCATTTGTTCCCATCCAACTGATGGTCTCATTTCCACCAGCCCAAACACAGAGGTGCTGAAGCAGAGCCCACCTGACAGCCCAGCTTGTTAACTGCACCCAGCAGCACAAACCCCATTCCCAGCTGATCCTCAGAGACAATTTCCCCGGGTAAAAACTGATTACAATTTAACAGCAACACTTTATTTTTAGCCTGGGGCTCTGTGGCAGGCAGAGATGCAGATTTGTGGTGCCTCCAAGCAGAAGCCACGCACAGGCTGCAGCACAGCACTGCTGCTGCTCCTTGGCTTTAATTTACAGAGCTAATTAGTTGGATTTACTGGCTTTAGCATCCCTTACCCTGTGTTTGCTTAAGGAGAAATAGATGAGCCCTGCGTGTCGAGTCAAGCCCAACAGGCCAGTAACTCCAGCACGAGGGCACATCCAGTGGGAAACACCTCAGACCTAGCAAGAGCTTGGAAATCTCAGCAGCAAAAACATCCTCTGCTTTCTGTGGAGAAGGGACAGGCAGAGCCCTCACTGAGCAACAGCACAGATCATCCATGGGGAGGAAAAACTCCTTTACGGTGTCTTTTCTAAGGGGATGTTTGGATCAGCAAGTAGATTCCAGAGCAGAATAAAGAAAAAGACAAAGTTTGTAGCAAAATGAAAGTGTTGGTACCTAACGAAGTTGTCTCGTAGGATCAGCACGGGGTGGAGTAGACATTGTGGTAGCTGCATCCAAGACTGGGATTCCATCCAAGGTGGAATGAGGTTGGGAGTTGTGGTTAGCAGGGAGATAGCACAGCTAAAGAGCTACAGAGGAGCTTAGGTGGCAGTTACCACCCAAAAGTTTCATTTTCCTGCTTGGCTGGAGCAAATGTCCTGCACAGCACCACACAGGGCAGCACAGCTACTGCAGGTTGGAAAGACTGAGGAGGGAAGGAGTAACTTCTACAAAGAGCAAACCTGCAATTCCCTTCGTTAGCAGCACTGTGTTTAATGACTGGGGAGTGAAAAGCCTCACAACCACCTCAATGGACACAGGGAACAGCAGAACATTCCCCTTGGCAACTTGGCCAGCAGCAACTCCTTCAAAACCCTTTGAAAGTGTTTGTTCTCTTGTCAAAGCCCAAGGTAAAACTCTACAAAAGCCAAGGAGGCTATTTGAAACCATTTAATTATCTTAATATAACGAGAATTATATTGTTATTACTGAGTGAAATCCCAATTTCCTTGCCAAGAGTGCTTATGGAATCACCCAGGCCATGCTCAAGTCCCAGACCATTCCACAGCTTCCATGCTCACTCCCTCTGGTACTGGGAAATTTGGACTCCTTGGGAAATCCTCAACTCACATCTGCCACCGACTCCTCTTGCTCTCCACGATGGGACAAGGCACAGTGAACCAGAGCAACATCACAGGACCCAACAGCCATTCTGGTCACTCCTGGATTCACTTCCCACTTCCCCCAACACCTTAACCCCAACTCAGGGACACCCCAGGGCTCCTCCCAAGCTGCAGCTCTTGGAGAACACCCCACCCAGCCAAGAAACTTCTCTCCCTGCTGCAGGGGAGCCACAGCCTCTCAGCAGCCACATCCCACTGCTCCAGGGCATGGTCAGGAGTTTTGGTGGCTGTTCCTAAGCTGCTGCTTCTGGGTGGGGCTGATTAAAGATCAGTTAGGAAGATGATCCATCATTATGTCTCTTCTGTCTGCTGAATACAGTACATACCAGCTATGGAAACACAGAACAGAGCAGCTCACATTAGCACATCTCACTGTCACAGTGGCTCCAGAGCACTTCCAGCACTCCTGACACCACGTCCTGCTGTGAAACTCTGCCCTGTTCGTTTTCCCTGGATTCCCTCTGAAATCAGCACAGGTTGAAACAGGTCACTGAACTTAATCACAAACAGACACTGAACTCCTAGGGAAGGCCAAGCAGAGATGGAAAAATTACTCCATCTGACAGTCCCTGAAGGAGAGGTTTGCACAGGGGGTTTGGGTTTGGCTCAGCTCTAGAGCCTAAGGAGCAACTGTAAAATTGGTGCATTTTGACTCAAACAAATCTCCTCTCTTGCTTAGTCACTGCCACAGCCAGGTCTGGATTCGATTAGCAGGAGCAACAATATTTGAGTTAAAGTGCAGAAATGTAACACATCATCAGTTTTATGGAGCCAATTCTGGTTTCACTCCCAAGAAAAGCTCACCAGAATTTACTTTCCTCTGCAGCAGCAACTCCAAGATCACTCTGTTCCTCCCCATTTCATACAGGAAGACTTTGTTCAACACTAAAGATTATTTATCTCAGTAGATCCACTTACATGCTCCAGTTTGGGCCTCCCAAAAGCCAAGGGTTTAAAGACACCCTGCAGGGATCTAGCTTTTGGGTAAGGAAAGCTCATTTTTGGGTAAGGAAATCTCACTTTTCACTTGTGAATTAAGACAGAATTAATCACCTGAATGAAAACACAAACACAAACCTGCACACAGCAAGTTCTTAAAGGACCTGAGAGGCAATAGAATCATCATAGAATCATAGGATTTAGGGGTTGAAACAGACCTTAGAGATCATCCAGCCCCAACCTCCTGCCCTGGGCAGGGACACCTCCTCACTAGATCAGGTTGCTCAGGGCTTTATCCAACCGGGAATGAACACTGCCAGGGTTGGGGCAGCCACAGCCTCCCTGGGCAACTTGTGCCAGTGTCTCACCACCCTCACAGGAAAAAAACTTTTTCCTCACATCCAACCTAGACTTTCCCACCTTCAGTTTGAACTCCTTGTCCCTTGTCCTATCACTGCAGCTCCTAACAGAGTCCCTCTACAGCTTCCCTGTAGGGAGAGGGGAAGAATCACCTCTTTTGACCTGTTGCCCACACTCCTTTTGATTTAGCCCAGGGATAAAGGCATGAGGAATGAGAGCATTAAGAACAGTCCAAGCCAAATCGTATCCAGCTTTATTAAAGGTACTTTTCATGAACAATCATAGGAATTTAGGCAGGACATGGGCTACAATCTGCAACATTTTACAACAACTGTCAAGCTCCCTTCCCTTTGTGGACTACTGAAACGTAAAAGTTGCTATTAAACCGTTAAGAATCTTCAGCTTATGCTTGTAGAGGGAAAACTTTAGAGTGAGGGTTGGACACATTCACACCAGTGTGTTGTCTGACAACGGCACAAACCGACCCTGACTTGGAGAGGAAAAGAAATTTAAAGGCAAAGTTTCTGTCTCTGGAGATCCACAATGGAAAAGAGGAAGTGCAGCTCCTTTTTGAGCCAAATTAGACACCAGAAATCCCCATCACCTGACAGTGGATTGAGTGTGGCACATCCCAAAAATGCCAGTTTTGCCATGGTTTGGAGTGATAGGCAAACAGGGAGACACCAAAGGAAAACTGATGGCATTAGGTTTTAGAGTTGGCAACGGCACCTTGGGAGCTTCGATGTTCACTTGGACTTAACTGAGACACAACAGGAGGGAATCCCTTCCTCCTCCCTGCAGGAAGGGCCCTTCTTCCAAAAACTGGGGGACTGGAAAAAGCTTTTTCTTATTAAAATTTAGGTTTTTGAGAAATAGACTAAATGACATTTGTCCCCAGCTGTTCCCCCTCCCCAACCCCTCCCTAGAACACAACAACGAAGCGATCTGTGTGCTAACAACATAGCTTAAAAAAAAGTAAACCAAAATTCTGCATTGTTATAAAACTTGATAAAAAATAGTATTTCAAACTGTACAGTCACCAGAAGTACACAGTTATCAAAAATTCACACTTTTTTTTTACTTGGCTTCACCAGCACCTTCAGCTTTCTGTGCCTGGGAAAGAGAAAGGGGAACCAAATCAATAGAGAGAACATCAAAAATGATAACTCAGGTTTTCAAATACCAAATCCTTGAGCAGAACAAATCTTTTCTGGGCTGAAAACTCTCTGATTTTGAAGGACGTTAGATCATTTTTAATAAAAATCAAGTCATTTTCAATAAAATTAAATAATTCTGACTCACATTCAACCGAACATTCAAGGCACTGTAAGAAAACAACCTAAAAGTTGCTTTATACGTGCACATTTTAGGGAGGAAGAACAGTAGCTTCCATGTGGCAACAGCCCCTGGCAAGCACAGCTTTAACTCTTTACCTACACATCTGTGGATGTGTCTTAAATGTCATAACAACAGGTCTAAATAAACAACAATTCCTCGTCGTTAGCACAAGCCAAGACCTGTCCCCGTGTGAGAGGAATCAATCCTGCTGGGATACCTGGTCTGTTTTGGCATCTCCATTTTCTGCAGGGTTGTTTCCCTCCTTGCCAGCATCAGCTTTCCCCTTCTTCCCCTTGGGCACCTTCTCACTCTTCTGTGGACACATGGTGTTTGCCGTTAGTGACCAACTCATGAGACACAAACCCCAAAACCAGCACTGGATGTTGGCCCAAAAAAACAAATCCCACCCATGTCTGGATGTATAAGAGATTGGTAACCACAGTCAAGAGTTCAGTGTTTTTATGCCAATTTTCTCAATTCCCAAGTTTTCAGTGCAGATTGATGGAAGGGACAATGCAGCTCCATCTCATCACTGCACAAGTGAAGTCCAAGGTTTGTCATTACCAGACAGATCTAAACCTCAGAACATTTACCTCTCCCACCAGCACTGACCCAACTCACCTTTGGAGCTGCCTTTTTAGGTTTGGGCTCTGGCTTCGGAGGAGCAGGTTTCTGTCACGGATAAAAACATCTTGGGTTAGAGAGTCCTGGAATGGTTTGGGTTGAAGGGACCTTAATCATCCAGTCCCACCCCCTGCCATGGGCAGGGACACCTTCCACCAGCCCAAGTTGCTCCAAGCCCCATGCAACCTAGCCTGGAACACTCCCAGAGCAGTCACAGCTGCTCTTGGCAACCTGTGCCAGTTCCTCACAACCCTCACAGGGAGGAATTTCTTCCCAATAGCCAATCTAATCCTCCAACCTTCAGCTGAAGGCCATTTCCAATAGTCCTATCACTCCATGTCCTTGTGGTAATTCCCCTCCAGGGACTTTTTCGCCTTAAAATCATTTCTTCCAATTATTTTAAGAGAAACAAACATTTTGAAAACATTCAACCCAAACAGTTTAGTTTTCAGGAAGGCAAACCAAACCATTTGAAATCAAAACCCTTCACTTGATGTATCAGTTACCACTCCCACTCCAACTCACAATGGGGCAGATCCTCAGGGCAGGGACTTACTGTCAACAACTGATGTCTCCAGAGCTCCTACAGCTCTGCCACCTATTTAAACACCTACTCCTCAAGTGTAAAACCCAAGTGTTGTCACCTCTCTGCCCAGCCAGAGGATACTCACAGCAGATAACCTCGCTGATCTCCGTTGGGGCTGGTGAGAAAGAAGAATTGGATTTAATGTCATGGTAGAGGAAGGTGCAAAAAATTCATTAAGTAACTCTTGTTTCAAACCCCCAGAAATTATGCTTTTAGAAATGAAGTCTTTAGCTCCTTTTCCTCCCAGTTTCCAAGGAATGTGAGGCTAGGCCATTGAAATCAGTGAAATGGTAGTTAAGTCGATTCTCCAGGGTTAAAAGACAGTTAATACTTTGAAAACTCACTCCATTACCACCAACCCTCCCTTCCTCCCCACCCCAACAGAAACACTCGGTGATCAAACTTTCCTCCAGAAAACACCCAACTCCTTACCTCATCCTTAACTTTGGCCTTATCACCCTTGGTATCTCCTTCAGCCTGGGGACATGGACACAGGTTGTAGGCACAGGTGTGGCACACACATCCCCCATCCCCCCAATCCCAAGGGGCACATTCCCACCGTGGGAACCAGCCCCATCCCCACCGGACACGGCACCGGGTGCCTTGGTGGGGCTGGATGTGTCTCGATGTATATATGTGTCTATGTCTGTGTCTCTGTGTGTGCCTGTGTATGTATGTGTGTCTCTTTGTGTGTGTGTGTAACAAGGGGGTGGCACTGCCTATCCAGGGGAGACCCCAGACCCTTCCTGACCCTGTGTGTGTGTATATGTATGTCTGTCTATGTGTATGTAACAAGGGGGTTACATTGCCCACCCAGGGGAGACCCCAGACTCTTCCTGACCCTCCGTGTGTATGTCTACATATGTATGTGTCTGTAAGTGTGTAACGAGGTGGTGGCACTACCCATCCAGGGGAGACCCCAGACCCTTCCTGACCCTCTGTGTATGTGCCTGTATGTATGTGTGTACGTATATATGTGTGTGTATATGTGTATGAGTAATGAGAGGGTTATGCTACCCACCCAGGGGAGACCCCAGACCCTTCCCAACCCTGTGTATATATATGTCTATGTTTGTGAGTAACGAGGGGGTAGCACTGTGTGTATATATATGTCTGTGTATATGTTTGTGAGTAACGAGGGGGTAGCACTGCCCACCCAGGGGAGACCCCAAACCCTTCCCAACCCTGTGTATGTGTCTGTATGTATGTATATATGTTTGTGAGTAATGAGGGGGTAGCACTGCCCACCCAGGGGAGACCCCAGACCCTTTCCTGACCCTCTGGGGGTATATGTATGTGTGTGTCTGTGTGTATGTGTATATATATATATAT